TTAAGTCTCTTTCCCCTCGACTGCCTTGTATTCTAACCCTCCACATTTGGTGAACCTGTTCTTTATCAGTTTGCCTTCCATGCCACAAGGGCATCACCCTGGGCCTGGGAGAGGAAGCAGGGTAGAGAACCAGTGTGGTGACAGAGGACACAAAACTGAATGACTTGTTTCAGGAGTCTACCCAGACATCTCAGTCATGGTGCTTCATGTCTTTGGCTATGACTAGATCAGTGGTTTCCAACTTTTTGCCACGACCTGCTGCGGGGAGCAGAGTGCAGTGGCGGCAGCAACCCGGGGACGGGAGTGGGGGAGCTCCCAACACGCAGCACGGCTTGTCCTTTGTGTGCAGCGCCAGCAGCATTGCCCCCATGACCCTTATTTGGGTCTCATCCTGAGGTTGGGAACTGCTGGACTAGATCACTAAGGCTCTTTTCTGTGCTCTTTCTTGACAGGGCAGAATGTATTCAGCGGGGTGTCTCCCCATCCCAGGCCCAAGGGCTGGGTTCAAACTTGGTAACTGAGGTGAGAGTTTACAACTGGTTTGCCAACCGGAGGAAGGAGGAGGCCTTTCGACACAAGCTGGCCATGGATACCTACAGCACGCCACAGCCCAACTCCGCACCCTCACTGACATCACATGGCTCTTCCTCCCTTCAGCCACCACCTGCTCTCTCACCTAGTAAAGTTCACGGTGAGTAATAACCCTACAGAGGGAGTGCTGAAACAGCGACTGCTGAGCCTGACAAATGCAGGTACAAAAGCAACTCTCTAGTGCCTCTCTTTGGAAGGTGATCAGTATTATAGGAGGACCAAAACAGTCAAGTGGGATAACATAGGATAGGGGTGCAGGTGACAAAAGCATGGATACCCAATGAGGGAAGAAGGGGAATATCAGATTTATGAGAGCGTTAGGAGGAGTTCAGTGTTGAGAGGATGCCTTTTAGTCAGTCTGAGAGAGGCTACTAAGTGATTTCCTTGACAGCAGCATGGGGAAAGCCTAGCACTAAAAGACAGAGACAGAATCACACCCATCCTTTTGAGAGGTAGTGGTCTCTCCTCAAGGAAGAAATCTTGGGTTTACTGGTGAACAGGATCACTAAGGATGGAGTGAAAATGGAAAATGAAATAATCTCTCCATGAGACTTCCCTTTCCCACCTAGTCTTAAGAAGAATTTCTAACTGACTGAGCTTCACAGTTTGTTTCCCAGATGCACGTGGCCACACGCCCCATCAGTCCTCTGGCCACACACCGCTTGGCCAGCTGGTGGCAGAGGCAGGCTCAGATACTGGTGGCTCTGATTCCATATGCATGTACATTCTGATTCAGTGAATGCAATGCCAGCTCTGAAACGGCACTAAAGGAGTAAGACTGTTGTATATCCAACAGGAAGTGAACTTAGCACCTCTGTTTCATCTGCCATTTGGCTAAGCTGCGTCTGCTTCCATCTCAGAGGCCTGAGAAAGGGTACTGTGATACCCAAAACTTGCCTATATCTATAGTAACCATACAGTTGGTCCAATTAAAGATATCATCCACAAAAATTCTTGCCTCTTGCATATCTCCTGGACCATCACGGCAACATCACCTCAACACTCTGAAGAAGATGCTTAGAACGGGAATGGCATTTCTCACTTGTCCTAATTTAGTAGAACAGCCTCATGCATGCTAACCAAACCTCTCCCCTCTTCCAACACAGGCGTGAGGTACAACCAGCAGCCAGTCAGTGAGGCAGAGTCATCCAGCAGCAATCATCATGGAAACAACTCTATGGTGACTACGCAAACCATTCTTCATCAGGTCTCTCCACCTGGATTGGAGCCCAGCCAGAACTTGTTGAGCACAGATACTAAGCTGGTGAGTGATCTACATCCTAGTTCCAGTGATTTTTGTGCTGTACAGGAATCAGCAAAGGACCCCTGGGTTGCAGAGCATTTAGAAAGTATATTTTCCACAATACTGTTAAAATTACATTATTTATGATAGCGGCTGAGCTGATGGCAATGTTATGTGGCCACACAGGAGCAGCCAGTACAAGCACCTTCTTAGGGTTCCCGTGTGCTGCTGACAGGTAGTAGGGGTGGGTACTAGCAGCTGAAGGCAGCAAGTGGGATTATCCCATTCAGTTACTGCTTTGCAATTAACTAAAGTAATACTTAAAACAGAAAAGCAGAGTCAAAGATCTCTAATGATGCACGTGTCCTTAACTTCCTCTTCCCAAAGGGACTTTTTCTCTCCATCCAGTGAGATTCCTCCCATTACCTGACTCTGGTTTGAATTTCTCAAGTTCAGACTGAATCCACTGCTACCGACAAATCAGTACCTGCACTGCCTCAATAAAAATCAGGTGCAACAGACCCAGCCTGCATAGAGTTCCCAGCACAAGGTCTTGTACAGTGTATCTGGATAACAGCAGCTACATCATCTACACATTGAAAAACATCTGGAAATATCTGCCATCAACTACACCTCTTCCCAAGTGATTTGGGCTGTTGCGTAGCATTATGCAGCTTCTCATTCTTGGTTGGCTTGTGCATATCCCTTTTAACTGTACAGCACGTAGAAAACCTGTTGGCAGGTGTTTGTATTGGTGCACGGCTAGTCTGGGACAAAGTTCAGTGCATTCTGGATGAGTCCGATTCAAATCTGCAGTCACTCACTCACTCTGTTAGTTTTCTGATTATTCCTTGTTTTCATGCAGAGGAAAAGTCTTACAGAAGATGGAAAGTCTCCTTTTATAGCAGTCTTCTTAAATGGATATGGTCAAGCTGGTCAGTCCTACCATTTAACCAACCACTGCTTAATCATGTTACAAAGTCAATGCACATTTGTATGTTACAAAAGTTTAGATACTGTAGAAAGATGGAAAGAAAAGATAGACAGATGGATAGATAGACAGATATTTTTAGTGTTTAGCTGGCAGCCCAATATTTAGAATGGTGCTTGAATTTCCATGGATTTTCAAAGGTCTTTCCAAACTTTAGCCCTCAAAACTCCACTAGACGTTAAATAGAGATTGAGGAGAGATGGAAAAGCTAAGGCACAGAGAGGTTAAATAACTGAACCAAGGTCCCAAACTGAATCAGTGACAATGCCAAGTCTAGCACAGTTTCCTGCTCTCTCCACTAGGCATATTTACTCTCTCTATAAAACAGTCATAATAGGGGTTGTTGAAAACAAGAGAAACACATATATTTCTCAGGAAGAAATGAGTGGGACAGAAGGAAGACCTGTATCATATCCCCAGCTCTTCAACCAACTTCCTGCATGAACTTGGATAAGTTGCTTAATTCCTCTGAACCTGTAGAGGAATACTTCACCATAATGGGGGAGAGAGTAGGTTGTGGAGCTAACTCACTAATGTTTATAAAGCATTTGGAATGTCTTGGATAGAACAAAGTAGGGCAAAAAGCTACTTTTAATACCTTGCTGCTTTAATGGTTAATCAGTAATAATGAAGGCAGAGAATGAAAGAAAACAGACAAATTACACTCAAATATAGAGTGCCTTCCAATCAGCAGCTAGAGGAGCAGGATGGAACCCAGCTTTGGGGCTTTGAGTGCCAGTCATGCTCAGACTGCTTCAGGTGGTGTTTGTTTTCACAGGTCTCCTTTCTCTCTCATGCACAGATATCAGCTCCCGGGGGGCCTCTCCCTCCTGTTAGCACACTCACTGCCCTGCATAATCTGGAGCAAAATCCACACGCACTGAGTCAGCAAACCCAGAACTTGATCATGGCATCACTGCCTGGTGTGATGGCAATTGGAGCTGGTGAGACTTCATCCCTGGCGCCAGCATTCACCAATACAGGAGCCTCCACCCTGGTAATAGGTGAGCAATGGCCCTAAATGTTGTGGTTTATGACCCAAATTCTGGTTATTTGGATTTATCCAAAAATTATGTGTAGTTGTCTGTTTCATTGCTTGTCCCAAAAGCCCTGAGGCCACAGGGAGGAGAACACAGGTCTGGGCAAGCTGGTCACAACTACTGGGGATTTCCAGCATCAGCTATTTGGAAGTAACAGTGGGATTAAGGGATAAGAGCAACACCTGTGTGCAAGATTTAAGATGCCCTGAGAGAGGAGTCCACTTTGCAATCAAGAAACTGGGAGTGAAGAGCTTCTGCAATCTCTCTCTGTTGCTGCCAATGATTCATTACACCCCTGCACCTCTCTGCCAGCTTTCATTTTTTTTAAATAGAAATTTTAATAATTCCTCCCTCCTGACTGTGAAGATCAGGTAATGTTTGCACAGCACTTAGAAGATTTAAAGCACAGAGCATCTTATGTCCTGCCTAGCAGGAAGTTGGTGTTCCTTGAATTTCAGCCCCTCTGAATTAGTATGCTAGTTCTCACAGTATGTTTCTCTCCATGACTGCAAAGTTCTAATGTGCACAATACATGCAGCCAAATAAAGGAAAACAAAAATACACAGGCCTTCATTTTAAGCAGAAAAAGCCCTATTAATCTATTCTTTGATACCAGCTCTGTACTGTGTCCCCTTTCCTCATTTATGCCAGTATGCAGTTAAGGTGCACGTCTGCATCTTCCACAATTCTATGCAGTTTTATATTGTTCCCTAAGATATGAATGGCATCCTGGTCCCACAGAAGCTTAGGTGAAATGTAAATCACTAAGTGGAGGCTGGACTTCTGTGGGACTTGGGCTATGAAATCTCTCATTCCTGTTATACTGGTTCAAATTCAGCCATTTAGTAGCCAGAACAAAAGCAGTCTAACTGCAGTTTTAAGCAGTCAGATTGTATAGCACAACTGCCCTTCTTCACCAGCATCTGAACATAGAGACTGAGTGAATAAATGGATCATTGAGACTATACTATTCTCACCTCTACAAGATGTCTCCCCAGTGGAAGGTTATGGCAGATCAGAACTTAGAATCAAAGAAAATTGAGGTTGACAGGGACCTCAGGAGGTCATCTAGTCCAACAGGAGGTCATCTAGTCCAATCCTCTGCTCAAAGCAAAATCATCCCCAACTAGATCATCCCAGCCAAGACTTCATCTACCCAGGTCTTAAAAAGCTCTAAGGATGGAGATTTCACAGGCTCTCTGGGTAACTTGTTCGTGCTTAACTACCCTCCTCATGAAAGTTTTTCCTAATATTTAATCTTAGCTTCCCTTGTTGCAACTTGAGACTATTGTT